TCTAATTCGCATGCATTTATTCGAAAAAACGAAAATAAATGACTCGAAAAAAGCTTTTCCTTGTGTACCCTCCTCACGGGATTCTTAAGGCTCGGGTTTGGCTCAACCTAAGTTCGGGCTCTATATTCACTATATGCTGGGTTCGGTTCTAAAGTAATAGGTTCTCGAATTGTCCTTGTCGGTGCCCCCTTAGGCTGCCAAACCCTCAATCCTGGCCCATCATAGGCTTTAGGGGATTGAGTTCAATTTCGAGGGAACACACGAGGACCATAAGGCGTGAGCTCCAGGAGCGATCCACTATCCCATGCGGGGGTGAAAACCACACGAGGGCATAGTCTCTCACTCCTACTTAAATAGGACAGAGCGGGGTTTTAGCTCATGTTATGATAATGCAACTGTGCAGTGTGTGAGGAAAAGCAAAAAACACAATAAAAACACTCAAAATTTCCTAAATTCACACAATTAATCTGAAACCATTAGCAACCAGATTAGTACAACTATTTAATTGTCAATCAAATTAAATTAAAGAAATCAAAATACAAACAAATAAAAATTTAAAAACCAAACAATGGATCAAAAATCAAATTAAAACGGATTTGTAATTTTCAATTGCAAAGACAATTAATTAATCGACTATCGGCTTGACTCTCTAAAAAAGGTCCCCAGTGGAGTCGCCAAGCTGTCGAAACGATTTTTTCTTGAAGGGTGAAAAAATGTAGAGATTTTAAAAAACCACATTAATTCTTAATTATCTCTTTTTAATTTAAAAAACAAATGCGATTTAAAAGACCCCTCGTTTCGAAAATTTTTGGATTTCCTTTATGATCGAAAAATACGGTTCAAAGAGTCGCCACCAATCTTTGATTAGGGTGTGATTGGGCACCCAAAAATGCTTTGTCATTTTAAATAAAAATTAATTTTAATTAAAACAACAAATTGAGGTCTGCGTTACCAAAATCTGAGTTCGGGAGTCAGTTACGTGTGGGGAAGGATTAGTACCCCCACAACGCCCTAAATCGGTACCTAATCGATTAATTAACGTTTTTGCAATGAACTTTACAAATTCGAACTTAATTTGATTTTTGATCCCATAAAACAAAAATGTAAATTTAAAACATTCAAGAATACTCAAACGAATTAAATTAAAATTACCAAGTCATTTTAGAAAGATAAAGAATGTTCGATTATTTACAAATATCGAGACCAGATCTTAAAGATATAACAACCTTTTCTCGATATATTTAAATAAACGAACATTTCTTTTTCTCTCGTTCCCAAATTTTAGTGTGATGGATCAATTTTTAGGTTTCACTTTCGGGATACACTTTTATTTTAAAATCGTTAAAAGCGGACCTCAAATCAGTTATGACTGCCCACTTAATACAATTTTAAATTAAAAGTATATTACCCTTAGTCCGATTATGTAATAGGTCAAGTTATGCAAATGAGGCTATCATGCAAATTATACCAAAATGATGTCATGTAAAGATTCTAAATCCATGCTTATGAACCGTATAATAACATATGCACACATATCGCCATCATTCAAACCTAGGATAAACATACACCCTAAATGAATCATAACTAATCATACATACATACACATAAGAAACTTAAACATGGACTAAAACGAAACATGCGAAAATTAAGAGTGAAATGTCTAAAAAACAAATTTTAAGTATATTACTAATTAAGGATGAAATCAAATACGCGAAAAATATGAGAACTAAAAGATTCTAATCGAGGACTAAAATATACTAAGCTAAATATACTAGACCTCGCGCTAATAACTCCTAAAAGACGATGACTTACGAATAATTAACCCTAACATTTCTAATATAAATTCTAATTATAAACTAAACCTAATCCTAAACTCTCAACCCAGCCGTTCCTCTCTTCTTCTCTATCTCTCCCTTCTTCTTCCCCACGATCGCACACTGCAACTCTCCACTCATCTTCTTCATGCTCAAACTCGGCCAAAATTTCACCTTTTCCCATGCTCACCTAAAGCCTCGGCCACCGTGGTCCGACGAAACCCAGACCAAACCTCTAGCCAACAACAACGTCCTCTCCTTGAGCCACCATACCCGACTGGCTACCCCAAACACTCCATGGCCGAACCTCTCATCTTCTCTATCTCTTTCTCTCAACAACACAAAGCTGCTGTGTTCACTACTTGCAGTTGGTTCCGATGAGGAACCAAAACTCTTCTCTCTAACACTCTCCTTCACGAACGGCGCTTCTCCAAGCGCAACCCTACACGACTGGCTACCCCAACAGCCATAGAAGCTACGGCCACCACACACAACGACCACCAAGGCCAAAACTAAAACTAAACCTAACCAAACCTTTTTAAACCTCATCGATCTCCCTCTTAAACGACCAATGGAACAATGCAGAACCAAGAACAACCAGAACTCTCGGTTTCCTTATACTTGGTAAAGACAGAATTAAAAAAGGTAACGAACTAAACTTTTTCTTTTCTCATATCTTTCATTTGCTTGAAAATAAGAACACATAAAGAAATATTGGAAATCGAAGTACCGATAGAAAATTACTTTATTTTGCTTCTTCAGTTTATGCATACAACGGTGAGATTCCTTGGGACTTTTCTTATGCGTGATCTCCTCGATGACTGGAATGAGGATACAAGCGACGTGGCGGTTCTCCTCTTCAACTCCGGTAAGTAAGGGTTACATTATCTCATTATCAGCTAAATAAATATGCTTGAATGGGTATTTTTTTTGATTGGAATCTCTCTCTCTCTCTTTTTTGATGTGTGTTAATGGTTAGGAATGGCTACCAATTTCTCCTCTGTTTTTTTTTTGCCCTTTAATTTTTGCTCGTCCCCCCCTTTTTGTGTTGATTCCCAATGGTTAATGCCTCTCAAAATTGACTATTTACAGTTTTTTAATTCCCCATTATCTAATTATTTCAACTGCTAAAAACCAACCTCGATCTCTTTCTTTTTCTGCATCCAACTGTTGTCAATTGGTCTTGAGCTGGACCTTCATCTGGTTTGGGCTCATCTGGGCTCTCGTTGCTTCGGGTCTGCTCCGACTTGGCCCCGGACAGAAACGAGCATCTACACTTTCTTGATACGAATAATTTTTGTGTAACAATCAACTGCTATTTTTACCAACTCTTTTTCCGGTATCTGAAGTAATTCTGGTATATTCCAGTTATACTCCCGTGGCATTTTCTTCGGGGACTTTTCTTCGGGGATTTCTTCTTCTTCTTTTTCTTCTTCAGGGTTATATGAATTACAGAATGGATGTTCAACATGTTCATTCACAGTCGTAACTTTCTCCTCATTATCATCAACAACATCTTCCTCGACAACAGCTGTTTCATCATCAAAATTCGGGTATTGACCAATATCAAAATCATTACACGTAGGGTCTGTTTCTTCTTCTGAAACATCATCAAAATCCGAGTATTGACCAAGATCAAAGTCCGGGTATTGACCAAGATCAAATTCCGAATACCGACTAGTACTCACAATTTTTTCTATTGGCTCATAATCGTCTAACTGGTTAATACGAAAATCGGAATTTGGTGCTGAAAGTTGATTGGGATTTGGATTAGGGAAAGGTTGTGGGTTTTGAGATTGTGTTTGGTATTGGAAATGTGGTGAAACAAAATTTGCTTGGTGATGAAATTGTGGTGGAACCATTAAATTTTGAGCACCATAAACTGGGGTTGAAAAACTTAGTTGATTACTACCCGCTACTGACCCAACTTCACTACTTCTAGGTTCAACAACATACAATGTAACATCATCTTGCGAAACACTAATGTAAGCAATGAATCGTTCAACATCTTCATTGTCGGTTAACAAATAAACTTTACCTTTTCTCTGATAAGATAGCCTAAATCCACTTAAGGGCTCTAAATTCAATTTATTTGCAGCACGTAACATTAGAGTTTCATATGTTAACTTTTTTAATGACAGTTTTAGTTGAAGATTCATGAGTAAAGGCATATATTGTAAAACACCATGAACATTCTCCCATGACCCTCCAAAACACAAATCTATCTAAACATGATCAACATTAGATGATTTCATTATTGTAAATTAATTTACTAAACAAACGAGCTGCGAAACTAAAACCTGTTGCCGGATGGGGAAGGATGTCGTTGGATATAGGAACGGATGTCGCCGGAGAGAGTGATAGATGGAGATGGAATGAGTTGCGATTTAGGGATTTAGGTTATGAGTTGATGCTGATGCGTAGTAGTTATATACCCATTTGTGTTGTGAAACTAAAACCTGTTGCGAATTTGAAATTCAGTGATGCGTTAGTCAGAATCGCGTTGCGATAGTCAGAATCGCGTTGCGATAGTCAAAATCACGTTGCGATCACGTATTATCGCGATGCGATAGTCCGAATCGCGTTGCGATAGTCAGAATCGCGTTGCGATTTACATATTCGCATTGCGATTATCTAAAATCGCAATGCGGATTTCGAAAATCGCAATGCGATGGTCAAAATCGCATTGCGAATCTGAAAACTGAATTGCGATAATGGAGATCGCGTTGCGATTTAGAGATCGCATTGCGATTTTGTTGGTCATTTTGGCAAATCGTAAAAAAGTTGGTTAAAATCGTATATTATAAGGAATTTTCGGTCACTGAGGTTATTTTCTCTTATTATAATTAATATATTAATTTACCTCAATAAGAGGCTAATTTATTAGAATAATATAATTATTTAATTTTTTATTGAAATGACACTCAAATAATATTATTGGTGAAAATAACATCCTTTCGACATGTTGACGTGGAAGAGTCTTCTAAACGGCGTATTTTGAAAGGTATGCCTTTGCCTGTATAATAGGGTTTACATACGATTTTTTTTATATTGATATCATCTAATGGGCCAAAAACCGAACGAAATTTATTAAAAAAAGAAAAAGCACACGTTGATACGGGTTAAAGATAATAAATGCAGGAGCACGATAAAAAACCAACTGTGAATGCTATGTTCCACCATAAGAGTGAAGCGTAGGCAGTGCAGTCAACATGCAGTTATCAAAAGATAATGAATTTGATATTATTAGATGCTATTGTGATTGGATGGGCGTGGTCTAACAACATTCAGCACACCCCTTGCGGTTGCCTGTTGAAGACATGAAGAATGCAGTAGCAGGAGATAGGCTAAGTTTTTCAATATTTGAAAGACTGGTCAGGCAGATCAGAAATTACCTCAAAGAAGGAATTATAATTCATACGCAGAAGGAAACGTCTTAGAAACGGAGCTCGCTGGCTTCCACCAAGCCTTCTACTCCGCAGTATGGTATACAAGGAATTGGATTTCTTGTTAAATTCCTGAATAAAATGGTTAACAATAGTGTCATGGATTAATATATCTAGTTAAAGCTTACTTCATTCTTGTGTTGCCAACACGGATAGATGAAGGGGTATTTCTCCTGAAAATTTAAATTCTCGTATAATTCTCTAATTTCGCTTCCATACATAAAGCATATATATATGAAATGCCACAGTTGGGTTTACCTCTGTTATCCGTTCTAGTTCAGTTGTGTTTTCACTGCTTTCTTGCTTCTCAATGTTCCTGCAGAACTGAAGGCAAAGCATCATGATACTTCCCAGAATCCTTGACACTGACCCAATGTCCAAGAAAGACTGAGAAAACAAGGCTGATAAATACCTGTAAACATGTAAGCACATTCAAGTATTTAGCAAATCATCAATGTTCATAAAGACAAACCAAAAGAACTGGCAGATAATTTACTGGCTTACTTATGAAAATTCAAAAGATGGATGCCAGAACAAACAACTCATCCCACTTACTCTTGATGGGAACCCACAAGTTCAGCGAAGTCATGAGAATTTTGAATGTGGGATTGCAAAACTGTCCATTGAGATTCTATCACATCTACCTAAACCAGAAAATATAACATCTCTGATATTAAAGACTAACAGGATTATAAAATTTTAATAGAAAAAGAAAATAAGACATCTGTGCACTGAACAAGTGACTAACAACCAAACTGTTATCAAATATTAGGTATTCCACTCTCAACGTCATTTACGAGCATTTTACAAAACTCGAAACTATCAGAATCTGTCAGGTCAAACCATATAGACTCTTTTAGAAATGTTGATAACTGATTGTCCAAGCCAAGTAACCCTTCCCTCAACTTATTTCCACTAGTATCCATGATATTAGTGTTTAAAGTGATTCATGGGTTTGAATTCTATGCTCAACCTATGACACAACACAGAAGACATCATCAAAGACTGCATTTGATGATTTTTCCAACTCTTCAATATGAAATTTGTCAGAAACTAGCACAAGAATATTGGTCAATACGATCAATAATGGACAAACTCATTCAGAATGCAGAGCATGTAAAACAAAATCCCTTTCTTTCTTTGATAGAAAATCTCAAGAAAGGTTTTCCTTTTGATAATTAGTGGAGCAGTAAGGATGAATCCCAGCTCTCATGCCACACAACATGAATCTTGCCTCTAAGCCAACAAGTTGTTGGCATTTCAGGAAGAATTTTGCAGACACTTGATTTGAACTTTATACTATTGGATATAAAATTGAAGATTTCTGATTAAAAACACCATGTGCTCTCTAACGTGCCACATTGGAATTAAACGCTGCCTTCGTGGCTGAGAGGTCGAGCAGTTCTTCTGGTCATTACGGTGTTTGGCAAAATCTGTGTGATCCTGGTGCATTACAGATGCCCAGGATTTCTCCAATTCCATTTGTGTTCGTTTGAGCCTCAGCAGGTACTGGAAAAGTACACGGTACCTGGAGCACAATTAGGATAAACAAATACATTAAGCCTTTTAACAATATAAGTAAACCCCATTAATCACTTGTATACTTATCATTCCTTGTTTTGAAATGGCTGTTTCATGCCTAAAGGATATTTAGTAATCAGACGGATAAAAGGTATCCATGAAGCCACTGAATCGTACTTGGAGAGAACTTCTTGAGTAAAGAACAGCTGTAAGGGCCAATCAACAGAATATTCAAGTGCAATACCATCCCAACCATCAACTGATGTCTCTGAACTTCCATTTGACAAATTTACTTGGGACGATTTCATTGTGACCCCAAATGAAGGCATCCTGATTGATGGAAAATATAATTAGGAACATATCTCTAGTAATTTCCAGAATGGAAGTAACTGAAGACAAATTGAGTAGGTTCTTACCGCAAAGATAATCTAAAGAAGTATTTGTCTCCCTCACTAATGGTCTTTATGGCTGCCTGAAATGCAAGCCAAGAATTCATACATGAAGTTATGTAAATTGAAACTTCAATAAGCCATGTCTGTACACACTCAGAAAGTATAACTAAATTCATTGTCATGTTTATTTTGGTTTCAGAGAAATTATTAGTATCTTGTACCAACTGAAATGGAACTGTAATCTCAGCTTCAGCGGTTGACGGACGAGGTAGTAGGCACATTAGCTGCCGTCTCTCCTCAAGAAAACACTAGAATGATAACAAATATGAATTAAATGCAGGTTACATATTGCAAGAAAATAAAATCATTTTATCTTGTTGGGGGTGCAGGGGCAAAGGCCATTGATGCTTTACATTCTTTACCTGGAAAAAGTCTCCTTTCGCCAAAAGAAAATAGTCTTTGAGAGCCTTCAGGTGGCCATTCAAGTCAGCACGTACAACCACAAGCTGCAGAGAGCAAATTCAGTTAAATACAGTCATGAAGTATACCATTTAGGAAGTTTGGCATGTATCACCTGCCAAAGATGAGTAGCTGCAACAGCCCGGATGGAATCGACCGAGCATTCAAATGATCTTTTGTGAAATTCTGATGATTCCTACATATAATAGATACACAATAAAGAAATGTTTTCTACCATTTAAAGGCAGATAAATGAATACAATACAGTCAAAACTACATAATTGTGGAAGAAAACCTTTAGATCTTGAAGCATAGTTTCAATCTTATCAGCCTCAGATTGCGGAAGAAATTCTTCTCCGATCATTTTTCCATTTATAGGATCCTTGGGGAAAGGATCACGCCCTGCAGATCCATAAATCTTCTGAGAGCATTTTCCTTTCTCCTGATTATATAGAGCATCTTGAAACTTGAAGCCAGGGCTTGGATTCCGGAGAATCCTAATGGATTTACCGGCAAACAGAATAGACTCTGCAGCATGCATAGGGATATACTCGGGGAGCATATCCTACAAAACAACATTAAGTGTTGAAATAGCTTGCAACAGCAACAAAACTAAAAAGATTTCAAAAGAATTCTCTACCAAATTCTTTTATCTAGAGATTCATTTCCAGTAACAGAACATGGTTGCTGGTTTTTTGACATGCAACCATGTTTCTTAATAATTACCCATTGAAATTCACCAGTAGAATCCTATTTATCTACCAAAGCTATCACCTTAAGCAATAAGTCCAAATAAACTGAGAAAACTTTCCTACTAACACTAAATAAAAGCTCAAATGAGGTTGTATAAGGCATTTCAGACCACATTCTTCAACTATTAATGTTGCTCTAAGTAAAGAAAATACCAGGAATATATGAAAGCCAAAGTGCCAATCCCTTACAGATTTATCATCAGCTGACAAGCGTGCAAGTTTGTCTGATGTGTCCGGGATAAATGAGCCATACTCCACATCTCGATCTTCCTGCCTGAAAGTATTATGTTTATCAAGCCAGTTTCAAAGGTGCGAAGATGCACAAATAGGAAAGAAAGTACATGCAAGATCATAGGGAAAAAAGAATCTCGTTTGGTCTTGCCTTCTAATGAAAAATTCTCCTTGCTGATCTTGAAGAACGCCATAAACCATCCATGATGCAAGCTGATTATACAACACTTGATGACCATGCCAAAGAAGCCTGTGGTTGAGTAATTAGTTTAGCAAGCTGATGATCACAAGGATCCTAGCATTTTCTAAACGATCAACATACGGTGAATACCTTTGAACGCAAGCCTGTAATTCAGGCACCCCACAGTGGAACCGTTTGTGTAAAAGGCTAAGCAGCTTTCCTCCACGTAAATCATCGCGCTCAATCTCTAGAACAAGTTCGTACAAAGGTGGCAAAATAACAAAGAACTGCGACGAATATAAATAGAAGAGAAAGGCTTACAAACTGAGAGAATAAGGACAAAGAGGAGATAAAAAGATGTCAGTGAACGGACCTTATTAATGCCTTGACTGACAGTTGCTAAAACAGGCATGGTTTCCGATAACAATTTCTGCTCGATTTGAAGAACAGCAGATTTATAAACAGAGAGTACCTCCACCAGCCCATTAGCAATGGCTCTGCGATAAACACTTGGGTTCTCGGTTCCATGATTGAACAACTCGGAAGCTCTATCCAAAGGTGAAAGCAAAACGCCACCGGATCTTATCCAACTTAAATTCCGGGATTTCGTTGTGAAACGATCGAGCTCTCGGTAGTAAAACCCTAGCGACACTAACCTCTCAATAAGATCCCTGAGAAACAACAGCAGTCGTTTAAAAATAGTTCGAATATTTACAATAATTGAGGGGTTGGGGGGGCGAACAGTACCTTTCGCTGGGGTCGATGAATGAGACATCGGAAGCAAGCTTGAAGCAGTGATGGCCAGAGATGGCGGCGTCGGGGTATAAGTGAATGCCGAGAGAATTCTGGTGCTCTCGCTCGTCGATTATGAGATCGCCGGTATAGCCAACTAGTGCTAATAAAAGCTCGTGCAGCATCTTTTACAAAACAAAAAAAAAAAAGAAAACAATCAATGAGAATATATGACTGTCACGCTTCTCCAACAATTTGAATTTCTGTGCAAGTTAGTTAGCCTCCAAAAACCCGGGAACGGTTAAACCGCGGGCTCATCTCACAGTCTTATCCCCACAATATAATGTTTTGGGCCATTAAGTAAAAAATGTTTATTACTAACATTAAAGGGTGACAATAGCAGTATATTTCTGCAACTGCATTACAAGAATACAAGGTATGAATCAATGCAGTAAAGAGGTGAAGAAGAGGAACCCAAGTTGGAGAAGGGGAGCACGTGCAAAAGCCAAAAGGGTAAGGGGGATTGGCAGATTTTGCACGTGCCCTGCTTCTCCAACAAGGAGCCATCCGTCTGCTGAAAACGTTTTTCCATGAATGAGTTTGAGGAAGAAAAAAGAAAACATTTATAACTAGTGCAACAGAGAGAGAATGATGTTGGGCGCATGGAGCATTACCAAAGAAAGAAAAAGGCAAAAGTCATGGGGGATGGCATGCCATGCAATGCAATCATAGTGGAACCGTACGCCAAAGCAAAAGAGAGATCAAAGTAAAGCTTTGGAGATGGAGCGACCATGTCGGCCTTGATTTCAGAAAAAGCTACATATTCCACTAGCAGTCTCGATCAAGTTTGTGTGTGTAGGAGACTTGCAGGATCCAATGCACAGGCAGACAAAGAAGAAGACTCTAAGAACCTATCCATCGCAGGCTGTTAGGAAATAAACCGAGTACAAGTAATTTCCCTATAACCAGATTAGTGAGAACGCGAAATAAAATCGGAAAAATAATACCCGAAAAATTGATAACGGAGTTCAGCCAATTTTGCTTACGTCTCCGGACTGCTGCAGATCTTTTACTAAGAGAGAAATTTTACAGGTGTTTACAAAACACTCACTACTCACAAGAAAGCTCTCTAGTATTGGGAGAAAGAAATGATTTTTGGGATGATTTTGAAGCTAAATGAGCTAGGGTATTTATAGCTGAAGCTTAAGGACTAATATTGTAATTAACCCTATTATAAAAAATAAAAAATTACAGCAGCCCCCCCCCTTAGCAGCCCCCCTTAGCAGCCCATGTGTTTTATTAATTTTCAACAATCTCCTACTTGAAGACTGATTTTAATCTGTCTTCACACCTCGATCAATGCAGCAGCATTTCTGGTCTTTTATTCTAGCATGCCAACTGAAGCTGAACACAACTTCAGTTTTTCTGTGGTCACCGTCTTTGTTAACATGTCTGCCGGATTTTGAGCTCCACTAATCTTTTCAAGTTTCAAAATCCCATCTTCCAGAAGAGACCGGATAAAATGATATCTCAATTGTATGTGCTTCGTCCTGGAATGAAAAGACGGATTCTTCGCTAGATGGATAGCACTTTGACTGTCGCAATACAAGACATTGTTTTCTTGTTTCTTGCCTAACTCTTCCAAGAAACTTTGGAGCCAGACCATCTCTTTGCTGGCTTCCGTAACAGCGACATATTCTGCTTCGGTTGTAGAGAGAGCAACTATCTTCTGTAGTTGAGAAACCCAACTCACTGCGGTTCCTCCTAGAGTATAGACATACCCTGTAGTGCTTCTTCTGATGTCAACATTTCCGGCTAAGTCAGCATCTACATAGCCTGTCAGTATCGTATCTCCACATTTGAAACAAAGTGCTTTGTTTGTGGTACCTCGCAGATATCTGAGGATCCATTTGACTGCTTCCCAGTGTATTTTGCCTGGATTATTCATGTACCTGCTAACAGCTCCCACTGCTTGAGCAATATCTGGTCTGGTACAACCATGGCATACATCAGACTTCCAATTGCTGAGGCATACGGCACCTTCACCATGTGTGCACGTTCTTCCTCCGTCTTTGGTGACTGTTCTTTGGAGAGTCTGAAATGAACACCTAAAGGTGTACTTACTGGTTTAGCATCTTGCATGTTGAACCTGGAGAGTACTTTGTTGATGTACTCAGCCTGTGATAACATCAAAGTCCCCGAATTTGTGTCTCTCTTGATCCTCATCCCAAGAATCTGCTTTGCAGTGCCCAGATCCTTCATAGCAAACTGCTTCGACAATTTTTGCTTCAAGTGTATAATCTCTTGCATGTCTGAGCCTGCAACGAGCATGTCATCAACGTACAATAATAAAATAATGAAGTTGTTGTTGAACCTCTTGATGTAGCAACAATGATCTGCTTGGCATCTGGTAAAACCACAGCTACCCATGAAACTATCGAACTTCTTGTACCACTGTCTAGGAGCTTGTTTTAAACCATACAAGCTCTTCTTCAACCTGCATACCAGGTTTTTCTTGCCTGCCTCTATGAAGCCTTCTGGCTGCCTCATATAGATTTCTTCCTCCAAATCACCATGAAGGAAAGCTGTCTTTACATCTAACTGCTCAAGATGTAAATTTTCTGCAGCTACAATTTTCAACACTAGTCTGATTGTAGACAGTTTCACGACTGGAGAGAAAATTTCATTGTAATCAATACCTTCTTTTTGCTGAAAGCCTTTGACAACCAATCTTGCTTTTTAACGTTTGCTCCCATCGTGCTCTTCTTTGATCCTGTAAATCCACTTGTTATGGAGCGCTCTCTTGCCTGGTGGTAATTCAGCTAATTCCCACGTCTGATTTGACATAAGCGAGTCTATCTCATCTTTCATGGAAGACTCCCACTTGACTGAATCCTCCACTTGCATTGCTTCATCATAACACTCTGGTTCACCATTGTCAGTCAGCAACAAGTAGTGTAAAGAAGGTGAATACCGTTGGGTTGGTTTAGGAATTCTGGAGGAGCGTCTCAGTTCTGGTGTGCCTGGTTCTTCCTCTTGAACTGCTTCAGGACTGATCTGAACATCATTTTCAGAAATCTCCTCGAACTCAGCAAATTCCTTTGTTTCAGCCTCGGTATTACTTGATTCTGCGGTTGACCTGTCTTTGTACATCACATTTTCATTGAAAATGACGTCTCTGCTTCTGATGATCTTTCGATTTTCGTAGTCCCAAAACCGGTAACCGAACTCATCATCGCCATAACCAACAAAGGCACATTTGTTGGACTTAGCATCAAGTTTACTTCTTTCAGCAGAGTCTATGTGTACATAAGAAATACAACCAAACACTCTTAAGTATGAAAGGTTTATTTCTTTCTTGCTCCAAGCTTCCTCTGGTATTCCGCCATCCAAAGGAACAGAGGGCCCACGGTTGATCAGGTAAGCTGCAGTGTTGATAGCTTCAGCCCATAGAAATTTGGGCAATCCGGTATGTATCCTCATGCTTCTAGCACGTTCATTCAGAGTTCTGTTCATGTGCTCTGCTACGCCATTCTGCTGCGGTGTTATGGGAACTGTTTTCTCCATCTTAATCCCATTGTTTGCGCAGAAATCTCTGAATCTACTGTCTCTGTACTCTCCTCCATTGTCAGACCTCAACCTCTTGACTTTCAAACCAGTCTCATTTTCCACCATGGCCTTCCATTTTCTGAAGGTATCAAAGACTTCTGATTTCTTCTTCAGAAAATAAACCCACACCTTCCTTGTTGAATCATCGATGAAGGTGACATAATATAGTGAGCCTGCAAGAGATGGAACTGGGGATGGTCCCCATACATCGGTATGAATCAATTATAACCTTTCTGCCTTGGGTGCCTTGCCAATCTTTGCAAAACTGACTTTCTTTTGTTTGCCAAAGATGCAATCCTCGCATAGTCCGACATCCACATTCTTTAGATCCGGCAACTTCCCTTTTGACAGAAGTATCTTCATTCCTTTCTCGCTCATATGGCCAAGCCTTTGGTGCCATAGGTTTGATTTTCCATCAGCATCTGCTACTGCAATGATATTCTCTAAATTTGAGGTTACATAGAGAGTACCAGTCTTTTTACCACGAGCAATGACGAGTGCTCCTTTGGTAAATCTTCCATTCACAACCTGAAAAGGTTGTACTATATCCTTCTCCATCAAGCTGTCCAACAGAAATCAGATTTCTTTTGAGGCCAGGAATATGTCTCACTCCTGTCAGCTTCCAGGTGGTCTGGTTTGGCAGCTTTAGTCGGATATCTCCTTTTCCGACGATCTTCAAGGTTTCATCATCAGCAAGATGAACCTTCCCAAAATCACCACTGATATAGTTCTCCATGATTTCTTGGCATGGGGTGGAGTGGAAAGATGCCCCTGAATCCAAGATCCATGATTCAATCGGACTGTTGACGCTTAGAATCATGGCATCACCTGTCTCCTCTGTTACGTTGGCAGATTCCTGTGCACCGGTATCTTTCTTCAGTGCTCGGCAATCTCTTTTAAAGTGACCTTTCTTGCCACAATTATAACAGGTAAAATCTTTCTTTCCCGTTCTGGATTTTTCCCGTCTGGATTTGGATCTGCCACGATTTGAATTTCTTTCTGAAGTTCTCCCTCTGGACTCCGTGTGCAAGGCTGAGGAGGTTGATGCTTCACCCGATTCTCTCCGTCGAATTTCTTCGCTCAGTACCAGATCCCGAACATCGTCGAATTTCAATTTACTATTTCCCGACGAGCTGCTAACTGCTGTAACAGTAGCATTCCAACTGTCTGGTAGAGATGATAAGAGAATTAAAGCTCGAACTTCATCATCGAATTCAATTTCTACAGAACTCAACTGGGTTGTGATTGTGTTGAGTTCATTCAGGTGTTGAGCCACTGATCCCCTTCCGTCATCCGCAAATTGAATAATCGCCTCATCAAGTGAACTTTGTTTGAGGCCGATGGCTTCTCATACATACTGGAGAGAGCTGCCATAAGACCTGCCGTGGTCTTTTCCTTTGCTATGTTGAAAGCAACATTTCGGGATAACGTCAGTCGGATAACTCCGAGGGCTTGTCTGTCGAGAAGAGCCCAATCTTCATCCTTCATGCCCTCTGGTTGCTTTCCTGAGAGGGGTTGATATAGATTTTCTGGTACAGAAAATCTTCGATCTGCATCTTCCAAAAGCCAAAGTCCGCACCATCGAACTTTTCAATTTTCACCTTCCTTCGTCTGCAGCCATCGCTCCCACTCGAATCTGGCTTCGTTTGGATCGTTTCTGACAATTTCTGCGAACCGCCGTGTATTAGAACACCTCCATCGACAAACTCGTATCGCCGACCGAATTTCACTATTCACGAAATTCACTATTCACGTGAATAGTAATGAATAGTAACCTCGCAGAAAATTGACAAAATTCACAACCAAAAGCTCTGATACCAGTTGTTAGGAAATAAACTGAGTACAAGTAATTTCCCTATAACCAGATTAGTGAGAACGCGAAATAAAATCGGAAAAATAATACCCGAAAAATTGATAACGGAGTTCAGCCAATTTTGCTTACGTCTCCGGACTGCTGCAGATCTTTTACTAAGAGAGAAATTTTACAGGTGTTTACAAAACACTCACTACTCACAAGAAAGCTCTCTAGTATTGGGAGAAAGAAATGATTTTTGGGATGATTTTGAAGCTAAATGAGCTAGGGTATTTTAGCTGAAGCTTAAGGACTAATATTGATAAAAAATTACAGCAGCCCCCCTTAGCAGCCCCCTTAGCAGCCCATGTGTTTTATTAATTTTCAACACAGGCTCGCCCCCACTACTGCCGAAAAAGATGTGTAAACCATTCCTTCTTTCTTCCCTAGCAGTACCTAGCCTTTGGCTTTGGATCAAGAATCTCGTCCCTTTTCTCAAGTCCGACCTCCACTTATGGACACAATTTGTAGAGGGTATCACCATTTAACCATCCTCTCTTTATAAATTTTGATAACTCCTTGGTGAAGAACATGTAGATGCAAGAAGGTGAAGGGAATAATGTAGGAGTGCACGTAAGCTTTGCGTGTTGCCGTGTTGAACGCAAAGGTGCAACCTTTTCTGAACATGAATTTATTTAAATTTTAAAACTAAAACAAATAAATTTAAAATGACAAAAAAAAAACTGAATGGACTCAGATGAAAAAGTAAGTCTTACATTCCAATAGCCTGAATATAAACAATTCGAATCCAAAATAATTTAAACAAAATATTATCTATACCTTAAAATGACCTGAACACAATACTAATTAAACTGACAACCGAAACCAAAAAAAGAAAAAAAAAACTTAATCCAATCTAAAACAAATACAGCCTATCCAATCGATAGGTCTACTCTCAAGTGTAAGGAATGACCCACACAATTGATAGGTCTAATGAATTTGGATAATATTTGATGTGATTTTTAACTTTTTATATTCAAAGAAATCATTTTTAAACACTAGAAAATACCCTTCAGTCTATTTCGGGAAATTGGATTGAAACTTTTCTAGATTGTATTGTAAAGGTATGATTCCCTATGACATAGCTACAGTTCGGGAGAAATCGGGCAAATGAATAGGAACAGATACATGTTTAACCCTCTCTTCTTCTTGATGAGAACATGTAATTAATATTTTTTTTCTAAGCACAACAGTTAATACAGGGAAAATTAAGCCCTGCAAAACTAGAAGGAATGTCCTAAAGAACTCAGACAAATGACGTACAACAACAACAAAGATAGGCAAAATGGGGTTTTTCGAGGGTCAAACTGTCTTAATCAGCCGCAGAATAGTTTGATAGGGAGAACCGGTGAGGGTTTAGATAAGTATTAGGGCTCTGATGCGTAATTTCTCGATTGGGTACCTTATGGGCCACACTCTTTCAGATTTGGGCTTAAAATCTAACAGTATTGCCTCAATTAGATGAGATGTTGACTAGTCAGTTGAATCAAGGATTGCTGCTTATCATATTGTTATTTATGCAATAGTGAACCGAGAGGAGTAAGGCATTGATCTTCACAATTCACTCAAGTTTACTCCATCAATTGAATCTATACTTTAAGAGCTTTGAGATAAGATCAAGTAAGCTAAGTCTTGTTTGTGTTTTCTATTTTGTTTGACTTGGAGTAGTTCTTTGTTTATTGCGTTGACTTTTGGGCATACATTGAAATATATACGTTGGGTAATGTATTTTTTAAAAATGTTATTTTGCCTTTATTCACACTCAGGTATACCAATAATGGATTCCGAGAGAGACGAGGGATCGTTAGAATGTTTTCTTTAGTGAATTTCTGACTTCCCTTTCATCGACAACTAGTTTAAACTCGTACAATTTCGACTACATATATTTATTTAATTTATCTAAAGATATTCATATTTCCTGTAAATTATATGTTAATATATATTCCATGTAAGGTGAAAAAAAATACTTTTAATATTTGATAGAATAATTATTTTGACTTTTTTTTAGTATTTTTAATAAAAATGCCTCTAACATTTAACTAAATAGTTACTTTAGCTCTTGTTCTTTTTTTTTTGGGAGAACCAAAGTGGCTATTTAATTTAATGTTAGAGACATATTTTATTATTATACCTATATATTTTGATATATAACATTTTTTACGAGTACACCTCATTTTTTAATTCTATTAATACACACGATATTAATATATGACTCAACTAGTAATTAATTTTTGATGTTATGAATATAATAAAATATTATAATAAAGTCAAATAGTAAATGCACGTGAATATTATTTAGGGGATATTTGATAAAATAAAATGATTAAGCATTGAATGTTTCAATGACCTAAATGATTCAAAGGCTCTGTATTAATTGGCTCTGAATGTGACATGTTGTTTGATAATGGTTCTGAATGTACAATCTGAAGTATGAATATTTTCATTTTTACCTTCATAATGATCTATTATATTATAAGATATGATTGTTTAATAAGACAATATGTAAAAAAATAGATATTATGGTAAAATACCGAGTGCTTAATGATTCAGAATGTACTTTAATGTTGAATCATTCAGCAGTGTTTTGATGTTTCATTCAGCATAGTCTTTATTCAGAGGTGAGAATCAAACAAGCTGAATGCTGAACCGTTCAACATTCAGCACTGAATGGTTACATTTAGCAGTAAACAAACGACCCTTACATTATCTTTACCAGTTGAGCACATGCAATTTGAAAACAAATAAATTGTAAAATCAGAGGCAGAGAACTAAAGAAGAAAGGCATCAAGGGAAACTGATCGGAAAGGCTGATATGATTCCTTCGACATCACCCTATGCCAAACACTCCAGCCTGTTACCAGTAGTCGCTGCCACTTTTTTATTATTCCTATTTCAAAAATATTGGTATAATTAATTATTTGATTAATAAAATATTAACATGTTAATATGAATTGATTTAATTAATTGGAAACATATTAGTAAAATTAGGTTTGAATCAAAAGAATATGAATGAATTAACCGTGGAAGTTGGGGATTTATGATTAACAAAATCTAAACGACTTTGAAGACAAAATGATTCGTGGCAGTGACTTTTGGAGAGGGCAGATTTATTTTCCTGGACAATAACTAATTTTTACTCAGCCGCCCTCTTTCCAACTATGGTAGTTCACCACGTGGTCCAATCCCTAATCATCGGCCATAAATCTGTCTAGCAAGAAAAGACTATCGCCTTCGCGGCGACCTTTCCTCGCTGAACCCCCTCTTTCACATGCTTTGATATTGATTGAATAAAAAGTCCGCCGCACTCAACCATTCATGTCTCTCACCCGTCCGATCAGCAAACCATCCTAAATATCACCATAAAAAATTTAATTATTGAAATAACACGTATTTTACATTATTTACTAAAATGACGCATTATCCTGTCACGTATAAAAATATGATTGATCAAACTACCTTTCACGAGTTTTTTTCTTTTATAAAGGATCAAAATGTAAAAAAAGTAAAATAGCACGTCCGAGACAATATACATATATATATATATACACATGAATATCATTTAAAAATAAAAAAATACACTATACGTGTAGAAGATAACCTCAAAACTCACACAAGTCAAATCAATGAACTATGTTTAAAATACTACATTTAAATGTTTTAAAAAATAATATATAATCAATGTTAGGTTTATATTATCAAATTTTACATTAATTATATATTAATATTTATAAGTGTTTAAATATAACAGTTTAAACATAATTAATAGAGTATTGGTTGGTCTAGTATGATGACACCTTAAATCTTTTAAATAATGTTAAGAGTTCTTTAAACATTGCGAATAGAACAAACTGGATTGGAATGATTTACCTCATAATTAATCTCTAAAATGTCCAATTTAAATTAATCGGTCAATATAAGATATTATTGGTTTACATGTGCTCATGCTTGTGTTAAAACATGTATTTAGCATATACTATATAAGTTCCTTCTTTTTGAACAAAATTTATATATTTTTTATTGAACAATTATTTACTTATTTTATATTTTAATCATTCAATATAGTTTATTAGTATTATATTGATGAATATATGTCGCATTAATTATATTTTATATTTTTAATCATTCAAAAATTATAGTTAGATTTTAATTTTTTTGGAAAAATATAAATTAAACTCTTTAAATTTTTTAAAAATCTTAATTTAAACTTCTAAATTTTAAAAAAAATTAAATTAACCTCCTAAACTCTATCACCAAGTTTCGCCATTAATTAGAACAACTTTATGAGTTTATTATTATTTTCATATTAAATTTATTTAGGGTTATATTTGGATAGTTTAGCATAATCGTGTAGTTTTCAATTATTGTAATTCAAATAAAATTAAAAAAATAGCCAGGTGGCAATAGAAGAAGGACCATTACTAGTGCGTTGACGGCGTCTTGTTTTCGTTTCCTCACGCGTCGCTTTGTATTTCTTCATCTCTATATAAACCTAACGAGGGCCGCTCTTGAATCTGCATCTTCATACAATTTTCACGAGGGAGAGAGTTTCTTCTTTGCTGCTACTGCAGAAGGTTTATTTTCAATTCAAGAAAAGAAAAATAAAAAGAAAAGCTTTTCTGCAATAGCCTTGAAGTTTTATCAAATCCAAAGTTTGAACTGTAGAAAATAAGAAGAAGAAAGAAATGGCTCGCTCTTTCTCGAACGCTAAGCTTTTCTCTACTTTTGTTGTTGATGGAATCTCTAACGTTATCTCCAGGTACCGACAACATCTTTCTTTTCTTTTCTTTTTCTTCATTTAGATGGCTCTGTTTTTCTTTGTATTTTAATGAAGTATAAAGATTTAACGGTGATTTATCTGTTTAGACGAGGATATGCGGCGGTATCACAAGGTATTGTGTCCAGTGGAATAAGAGAAGGAGCAGGACGGAGCGCTGCGGCGGTGGTGAAGGAAGAGATGGAAGGAGGAGCTAAAGAAAAGGTTTCATGGGTACCCGATCCGGTTACCGGATGCTATAGACCCGAGAACTCTTCCAAAGAGATCGATGTGGCCGAGCTCAGAGCCATGCTCTTGAAGAAGAACTAACTAATAAAAGAAGAAGACATAAATAAAATATTTAGAACAACAAGGCTAAGCAGGTAATGCTTGAATGGATTGTTAACAAGTTTGGCTCCAGTATTGTACTCTCTGCCAAAGACAATCGTTGCTGTCCTACAATTAAGAGCTGGAAAAACCTTGTTGCTTACTCCTCTGTTCTTTGTCGACGAAATAGATTTGATGATGTAATATTTTATAATAATCAATTATATTTCCTTTTCTCCTTCTTTTTCTTTTTAAAATATATCGCCAAATAAATTACAATTTGTCCAAACCAAATCCATAATACACTATATTTCACTTGTAAATGCAAAAACAGTGGCCTTCCAACACTAGGTTGCAATTATAGGGTTAATCATAAGTAAAATAAAATTGGGTTAATTATAGGGTTAATGATGAGTAAAAGAAGAAAGCGAATAAAAAGGCAAAATTGTATTATTTTCTTAGTTTGGTAAGCTAATCAAGTAATCAACAAAGTGTTTTCTTTAATTTTTAAAATTTTGTTAGTATATCAACTGTATATATTCTACGAACTACGAATAATTTATATGATGCCATATGAATGGCAATTGCTAAAAAGGGTTGTTTTTGTTGAATATTAGGCAGCAATTGTTGAAATATGGTAAGGGTAAATTATCATATTTAGTTATTGTACTTTAGGGTATTTATAAGATTAGTCCTTAAGCTTCAACTATAAATACCCTAGCTCATTTAGCTTCAAAACCATACCCAAAGCATTATAGCTTTCTTCCAATACTAGAGAATTTAGAGAGTTTCTTTGTAACACCCCAACCCGTACCCGACTCGAATACGAGTCTGAGGTGTCACTTTGACTTTTCAAACTTTGACTCTTAAAGAAAACCCCCCGGGAATTTATAACTTTGTTTAAAACAAAATACGTTAATTTACATAAAAGAGACCACAAAATACAAACTAGATCAGAGTGCTCATAATTAACGACTTATTACATGCCAACACTCTATACACAACAAAATACCTACTTTGTCGATTACTTCTGATCTGATCTTCTAATAATAATAATGTCCTTGCTACTTCTATTCTTGCTCTTCTCGTTTCTTGGTACCTACGTGTAAATCACTTACACGCTAAGTCATAGACTTAGTGAGGCAATAAGTAAACATGTAACAATAGATTCATGAATATGCATTCTTACCATTTGATCATGATATGCATGTATATATTTCATATGACATATATAACCAAGTCATGCACACATGAAACTTACCTTTTTGCATCACTTTCACTTTAATTTATATTTCAATTGCCCATGTATATTGTTGTTGAGAACAAAGGTATGTGAGTACATTGAGGTTGTGCACTAATGCTGTCACCACAACTCGTATAAATTCCCTCATGGGCACCGAACATTTGTTCAGTATTCGTCCCGAAAGACTGTTATATATGTCCCGAAGGACTGCTATATATGTCCCGAATGACTGCTATATATGTCATGTATGACCACTACGTCCCGAAGGACTACAATACCCTCGACTCTTGGCATGCCAACTATACCTATAGCTCTCGTATCATATACTATGGGCATTTACGATGAATACATTTCTCATCAATTGTTCTTTCTTTTCTGTCAAATACCACATGTATGTGTAAGCATGTATTTCATATCATATCACATAGCTTATCTCATTTCACATTGGTCATGTCTCATAGCATATATCACATATGAATATAATCATGTATATCATATCATATATCTTATGTTTTACTTATATGCATATCCATTTCATGTATTCATGCACATATAAGAATCACAAATCAAATAACATTTTAGGAGTCACTTCTTACCAAAGTAACTCCATCACTAGCTCATTGCAAGTCAATGTTCGTTCAATAATATAAGTACAATTAAAATTGCACTCACCTTAGCCTTATTTGCTTTGATTCGATCCTAATTCTTTGATTATTCCGGAACTTGTTTAGACTCAATATCTACATAAATATAACATTTCAAAACAACTATCAGAAGCCTAAACCTTAAACTTGATGTTAACAACTTAAACCAAATTAAAGAACCAAATTCCATTTTTCATTTAGGGGGAATCGATACCCCCTGAACATACTGGAATTTTTCGTTCAAGAGGAGGGAATCGATTCCAATTCATAGGGTATCTGTTCCCTCTACCCAGAAATTATATTTTAAGCCCGAAAATCATCAATTCTTCATTCAATTCTTCTATTTTAAACCCCTACTATGTCATTAAACCTAACCACCATTACTTAAACCAATTTATATCCATGAAAACCATCCATAACCTCAGAATCCTATCCCTCATATGTAAATCAAGAATCATACTCAAATTTCAATATGTTCTAAATACAATTCTAATACTTCATATTCCTTAATTAGCATGATGACAAGTCAGAATTAACTTCAAATTCAACTTATCAACTCTTTTCCATAATTTCATATAAAAACCCGTTTTCTTTAATTTCTTATAACTTCTTCATCTTTTGATTATAAGACAACTTAAGCTTTCCTTAAGCTTAGTTATCTTCTAATGATCAAAACCCAACTTAAAATTCAGCTAATAATCAAAAATTAAGAAATCTTACTTTTGCTCTCTTGCTCACGATGGAGAAGAAGAAATGAAGAAGAAGAAGATAACTTCCCCCTTTCCCCACGTGATTCATTCATATATAGGAAAAGAAAATATATTTCCTATCAAATGACCATTTTGCCCTCTCATTCTTTTAATAATTACTAATAACCTTCATGAATTATTATTAAATAAGTCATTGAACTATTCAACTTTTCCACTTTAATCATCAAATTCTAAAATTTTACAATTTAGTCACTAACCCGTAGTTTGGGATGTTACATTCTTGAGAGTTACTTTTCTCCATTTTATCAAGAGAAAATTATCATTGTTTTCTCCTTGTTAAATTGAGAGAGGTTGTAATTCCTATTTTCTCATAGTGAATTTCCTTCTACCGTTGCCCGTTGTTTTTACCCTATATTATTTAGGGGTTTTTCACGAAAATTTTGTGTCTCTTTTATCTTCATTTTTATTTTCTCAAATTATCAGTTGCGATTTTGCTCTATCCGATAGCCGTCTTCCGCAACAGTATTGTACTCTCTGCCAAAGACAATCGTTGCTGTCCTACAATTAAGAGCTGGAAAAACCTTGTTGCTTACTCCTCTGTTCTTTGTCGACGAAATAGATTTGATGATGTAATATTTTATAATAATCAATTATATTTCCTTTTCTTCTTCTTTTTCTTTTTAAAATATATCGCCAAATAAATTACAATTTGTCCAAACCAAATCCATAATACACTATTTTTCACTTGTTAATGCACAAACAGTGGCCTTCCAACACTAGGTTGCAATTATAGGGTTAACCATAATTAAAATAAAATTAGGTTAATTACAGGGTTAATGATGAGTAAAAGAAGAAAGCGAATAAAAAGGCAAAATTGTATTATTTTCTTAGTTTGGTAAGCTAATCAAGTAATCAACAAAGTGTTTTCTTTAATTTTTAAAATTTTGTTAGTATATCAACCGTATATATTCTACGAACTACGAATAATTTATATGATGCCATACGAATTAGAAATAAAATTAGACAAATTTTATTTTAATAATTTATTAGTAGTATATATAATTGCATGCTATTAATATATCAAATGTAAATCAATATATTTTTATAGATATCAACAACCAATTTATCTAGTGGGGTAAGGTATTAGATCCTTAAAGTTAGGTGAAGGGTTCGAATCCTAACATTTGGCGAATGAAGCAAATTAGGTTGGGAGGGTCGCCCTCACCTCTGCAGTAACCGATCCGGATCAGTCAATTAATAAATCAGATACTGATGGTTATACCAAAAATAATATATCATTATATATGGTAAACCTTCAAGATATGCATTTGAAAGTATTTCAATCTTTGCCAAAATTAAATAATTCAGATCTATCAAATCTGTTAATTTATAGATAATTATATTGATCTTACGTTTGACAAATATACTAAAGGCTACTATAAATACCTATTTACGCAACGGAAAAGTCGTGAACATTTTTTACAATCACCTTTCTTCTTCTTATTTCTCATGATAATATTCTTTCTCTCTCTCTCAAATTTTGATAACGATCATTTTTTCACCGATCGCACATATTATGCCCAAAATTAAAAGGGCAAAAGGGATGAACTTCTCATAAGTGACGAATCCAATTCATAAAAAAATATAATATTTAAAAATTAAAATTAACTTTTAAATTATAAAATATTAAATATTTAAACATATTAAATAAATAATACATTCGATTTCATTTCCTCAACGGAAGAACATAAGGCTCTAATCATTTGCTTCATAAAATAAACAAAAACAGAGGCTGTCATCACGTACTCGAAGCCGTGAAGGGACATTAACCCAACATTAGGTTGCAAATTTATTTTATTTTATAGAGGTGGTTATTAAATTTAATAAGTTAAATTGTTAATTAATAATCACATCGTTATAACAGGACACTTGGGGTATCGTATGCCATTAGATTGTTGAAAAAACAATAAATAATTAGAATAAACATTAGATTAATTAAATTATTGTCGTGTGTTAGTCAGGTCATCGTGAAATGTTAGGTAAGTAACCAACAAATTGTGATATTCTTTGATTTCCAATAATTTATTATATTCGGGTGGGGCTTATATAATATGGTGATGGGAGCAAAGTTGCTGTGAATTCACCGAATTGTATGGTACTAAAAGACAATGAGAAAATGGCATGTCTGACTGAAAATGAACCATCCAATCGTTTAAGGAAACGGATCATATTGATTAATAATTCAAATTGGATTGTAAAAATAAGCATAAAAATGTTTATATAACAAAAATTAATAAAAGAATTACGGATAAAAAGGATAGGTTTTATTATATTAAATAATAAAGAATAAAAAAATTACATTTATATGTGATTCAAAAGTTAATAAACTAATACCTAATTCGAATAAAAAGTTTAGTTCTTAATTTAAGGAGAAATATTCGAATACAAATTTATCTTGCTTTAGCATATATGAAATTAGAAAAAAAAACAAAATATTAATCCGTAAATGAAAATTGAGAATTCGAAAAGGAAACTGACTCATAGTTGAGTAGTCAGAATATAAATATCTACGAAAGAGTTACTTACTTTCTAGATTTAATAGCATAGTAATTTGATTATAACAATCAATCAATGGAGTGATTTGATTGTGATGCTTTATATTTGATTTACAAATTACAATTGGGTCACCAATTATAAAATTATAAAAAATATAGTAACTATTCCGCCCCTGCCACTATGGTTTTACCACGCGTGCACGTTTTTGTATTTCATGGCACTCACGTCGATCTTTCCTCGTTGAACCCATGAAACACCCTCCATTTTTCGCAAGCTTTGATAATTGATTGATTCAAGAAAAAGTCCGCCGCACTCAAATCATACACCATATCTCAGCCGTCCGATCATCAACCCTCCCTCTGCCAGACCAAGGGTCCATGATTGTAACTCCAGAAATAAAAATTGGAATTGCCAAGTGGCAGCAAAAGTCAGGTCCGAGTTGACGGCGTCTTGTTTTCGTCGCTCCCAATTCACGCGTCTCGTTACTTTTTGCTGTCTATTTAAACCCAACGAGAGTACATCTTGGAAACCATCATCATAGATTTTTCTAGAGAGAAAAAACGAGTTTCTTGATTCTTCTTCGCTGCTGTGTAGATTTTTCTTCTCTTTTCAACAAGATTAAAAGAGAGTTTTTCTGCAATAGCGGTGAAGTTTGATCCAATCCTAAGTTTGAATTGAAGAAAAAGAAGAAGGCTGAAATGGCTCGCTCTTTCTCGAACGCTAAGCTTTTCTCTACTTTCGTTGTCGATGGGATCTTTAACGCTACCTCCAGGTACCCACAAGTTCTTTCTTTTTTCTTTCCTTTTTTAGTTTTCCATGGATCTGTTTTTCTTTGTCTTTTTAATGAAGACGAATAAAGATTTTGTGGTGATTTGTTTGTTTAGACGAGGATATGCGGCGGCGTCACAAGGGATTGTTTCGAACGGAATAAGAGGAGGAGTGGGGAGGAGCGCGGCGGCGGCGGCGGCGGTGAAGGAAGAGATGCCAGGCGGAGCTAAAGAGAAGGTTTCATGGGTACCCGACCCGGTTACCGGATGCTACAGACCCGAAAACTCTGCCAAAGAGATCGACGTGGCCGAGCTCAGAGCCATGCTCTTGAAGAAGAATTGAATAAAAGAAGATATCTAGTACAACAAAGGTTAAACGGGTAATAGTCGAATGGAATTTGAACAAGGTTGGTTTCAGTTCTGTCAGAAAATTGAAGTCCTAAAATGAAGAGCTGGAAAAAACCTGTTGCTTACTCATCCTCTGTTCTTTGTTGACGAAATAGGTCTGATGATGTAATATTTCTCTTTTTAGTTGTATTTCTGATCAGTTTCATTGTCTTGGTAATTCATTTATATTAATCAAATATCCCATTTACATTACTGAAACCCACTGACAATGATTTAAACAACAAGTCTCAAAAGTCGCTATTCAATACGTATTTAATTATGTATTTAAAAAATTACGTATTTATTTATACTATTCAAAGTAATAAAATAAATTCAATAAAATGCTAATTATTATATTGATGTCATTATTAATTCATTGATATAACAATTAATTTTATTAGTGTGGGAATAAATCTGGAATAATGACGTGAATATCATGTGATAAATAGATTTAACTAAGTTAAAAATTTAATCTCGTGTATTTACAAATGAGAAAATCTAAGAAGATGATTTCAGGGTTTTCTGAATGATGACTATGGCCACAAGAGTTGATGGCTCGGCAAAGGTACTTTTGTCGGTAGTAGCCTTCTCTTTTGGCATGTTGGAGAGCGTCGAGAAAGGTATACGGTTCCAACATTAAGATCGAACAACTGTAAAAATCAAAGAATCATTGACTATTCTAACAGTAACAATATTAATATAGATTTTCAACTTTTAAATTTGACAGGAAAATCTAATTTGTATTGAAAAACTGTTGTTTACAGATTTGTTCAGGTGTCAAAAACTGGCGTTAATTATGCTTATAATCTGCCACCACTTTCCAGCACTGGCTCTACTACACGTGGATATTTCTGATGTCACTCATGACGGCCTTTCCTCGTTCAACTCATGAAAGATCACTCTCTTTTTCACATGCTTGATATTAATTGAAGAACAAGTCGGCCGCACTACCCATTATCTCAGCCGTCCATCGTGATACCCCTAGGCAATAAAATCTGATCACAAAGCTCTCAATTATTAGCAAGGGAAAATTAGAAACCAAGTGGCAGCAATAGAGAGGGCCACTACGTGCGTCTTTGATTTCATTTTTGTTTCCTCGTCACTACTTTTTCTCGTATATATAATGCCAACGAGGTCGGGTATTGGAATCCATCTCCATAGAATATTTTTAGAGAAAAAGAGAGGGTTTCCTGATTCTTCTTCTTCTTCTTTTTCGCTGCCGTGGAAAAGTTTATTTTCTTCTCAAAGAAAGATCTTCTGCAGTAGCGTTTAAGTTTGTATTAATCTGAAGTTTGAATTTAAGAAAAGAAGAAGAAGAAGATAGAGATGGCTCTCTCTTTCTCTAACGTTAAGCTTTTCTCTACTTTCTCCGTCAATAGAATCTCTAACGTTATCTCCAGGTATCCACAACTTCTTTTACTTTTCCATTTCCATTGGCTTTGGGCTCTGTTTTCCCCCCTTGTTTGGTTGATTGGAAACGAATAAAGATTTAATGAAGTTATGATTTGATTTGTTTGTTTAGACGAGGATATGCGACGGCGTCACAAGGGATTGTGCTGAGTGGAATAATTAGAGGAGGAGGAGCAGGGAGGAGCGCCACGGCGGCGGTGAAGGAAGAGATGGTAGGAGGAGCTAAAGAGAAGGTTTCATGGGTACCCGACCCGGTTACCGGATGCTACAGACCCGAGAACTCTGTCAAGGAGATCGACGTGGCCGAGCTCAGAGCTATGCTGTTGAAGAAGAAGTGAATAAACAAAGAAAACACCATATCGCAGTTATCACCGGATCATCTAATGACATCTAAGGAGTCACATTCACTTTATTATTGAATAGTTTATTTTAAATTTACTGCAAACGTAATCCATTTTTATCGATGTTAAATTACAATTTGGTATTTTCATCGTCAGTGTTCAGATTGGTATTATTTGCTTTATTTAGACGGTGGTTATATGTTAATATCTACACCTTTAATAAAAATATTATAAATTTATTTATCTTTTAAAAACATTTCTATTGCTATGTGCTATGAATTATTATCCAGTAACATCCGATGAAAATAATTAAAGTTGGCATAGTCCCGATTCAAAGAATATTTATGCACTAAACGACGTGATGAGAGTTTTCTCCCACCAATTGTCCAATCGGTCTTATGAGTATTTATGTATTAAAAAGTAATTAAATAATCAAGGGACGCACATGGGATATTGTATCAGTATTTATTCGATAAGGTTGTTGTAAAGTTTGGGACACCGAAAATACTAGAGAATTAACTATAGTATTATTATAAGTTGGGTAAATGAGGGTGACGGGCAAATTCTGGTATTCTTAATTATATTGTGGTGGGGCTGTGATGGAAGCAAAGAGGCGGTGGATTCACCGCATCCTAAGGCACGTGGAAGATGGCAATCATATCTGTTCGATGATGAATGGAGTTTGGCAATCAATAATAAAGCAAAAAAGGTTGACGTCACAAACCAGAATCTGCAAATGAAGTCATCATTTCGCATCCACTGGCTTAATTTCCCGAAGGGGTAATTCACAAATCAATCATCTTTCTGCACCAAAATATATACAATTCGATTGTGGCTTGACTCATTTCACAAATATTTCTTTTACTGATAATATGGAATAAGTCAACACAAGCTCTCTCTCTCTCTATATTTTTTCAGATAAGAAGAAACAGGTACAATCTGATTCTTATAAAGTAATTGTAACACACGAGCCGAAAGCTTGCCTGTGGAATCAAAATCAAGTTGGAAGGTAGAAAGACGACATGAAGTTAAGGTTTGAGATAAGGGATTTGAGTTTTCTCATGATGAAATGCTTAACCAAATACAAATAATCAAGTTGGGGGCTTTGGGATTTTAATCAATTTTATTCACAAGTGAATCCCTTAAGAGGAAGCAGCTTTGAATTCAAGAAACAAACTCTATGCAATTATGATATGTAATCTTTAATATAAATTTCATTTTTTATGTTTAAATTATTATTATAAACAATCATTTATTGAGTAAATTTTATTTTATTATTTATACATTTTTGGTTAGCCCTAAACAAAACATGAATATATACGTATATAACCATTAACAAAAGAACCATCGCTCTCGGCCCAAAACAAATATAAACGCGCTGCCCATTTCGAAATACAAAAAATAAAAAATAAAAAATTGAAAAGAAGTTTTGACAAAAATTATTAGAGCTAGGTCTCAATCTTAGGACTTGTGGGTTATGGCCCACCATGCTTCCGCTGCACCACTCTAATCAGTTGTTAATAGGTTTGTAAATGGACCGAACACATACGAACGGATGTATGTTCATGTTCGTTCATTTTATAAATAAACGAACAAATTTTTTTTGTTCATGTTCGTTCATTAAGGAATATAGCTTGTTCACGTCCGTTCATTTAAATAATAAACGAACATAAACGAACACGAATGAACGAACATAAACGAACACAATAAACGAACAAAAAAACTTATTCGAACACAACAAACGAATGTAAAAAAAGTACACAACATGATTAACAACTTAAAATTCATTAATATAACCTGCAAATTTAGAGTTAATTTGTTCGAATACGACAAAAACATACATAAATCATAAATAATCTATATGAACATAATAAAGTCTTAAAGTTAATTTGTTCAACAAAACAATCTTCTTGAAATCCAAACAACTTTAATAATCTTCGTAATATATTCAACTTGCCTTCTGTTCGAACATAAATGAACGAATATAAACAAACATATAATCTAACGTTCACGAACGTAAATGAACGAACGAACCCTTTGTTCATGTTCGTTCATTTAATTAAACGAACGCAAAATCTTGTTCATGTTCGTTCATTTAATAAATAAACGAACATAAACAAACTTTCCGTCGCACGGTTAATGAACGGTTCGCTGAATGTTCAGTTCATTTCCAGGTCTAGTTGTTAACCATATGAAGATTAAAGGTATATAACGCTTATTTATCAGCTGACAATATGAGATCCGACACAGCCTTCTATTTCTTTGTTAATATTAATACGTTATAATTAAATTTAGGCTTTTATTATTTATTTAACCCTTGAAGTATACCATTTCATCAGTTTGATTCTTTAAACTATCATTTTTTCACTTCACACTCTAAATTATTTTTTCTGGGTTTATATGTTAAAACTATCATTTTTTCCTTTCCATTGATCTCAAAGCTATCATTTCTATCTCATTTTGCCCCCAAAATTATTAGTGTATAGTAATATGTCACGTTTTTATTGACCAACTTTTCATTTTGTAGTAAATTTAAATAAAAATAAAGTACGTCATTCAAGTTGCACGCTATTACTGCATCAAATATTATTATTTTTATTTTATTTTCTAAGTTAGAAACTAAATCTGAACCCAAAAAAAAAAACTACTTGACACTTTCCAATCATCAGTCAACCACAAAATAATTTTAAAAAAGAAACATAATTTAAATATATATTAATTTATAATTAGACCAAAAGTAAGACAAATAGATGAATAAATGAACCTGGCCTCAGTTGCTCACTTTTAAAAATTGGTAGAGATTAATTTACCCCATTTATTTCGAGAAGACTCGATTTACTCATTATCAAAATTGCGAGAACCTTCAACATTCTTTTTACCAAAATTTTGCAGCTTAGTATCAAAGGGAAAAAAGAAAAAGAAAAAGAAATTACAAGTACTCAGTAAGAGATAAAATTATCAATAGAGGGATTGAAGCAAAAACCAGCTCAGGATTTACTGAAGAGACGCTAAATTTGCAAGCAAAACAATCCAAAAAGAAAGCTGCAAACAAATTACAATACCGTTCGTGTCTAATTAATTTACTTGAAAAATGGCATTCTGCCATTGATTTTCATTTGAAAAATGCCGCTAGAAACAACATTACACCCGATCGAGCTCATCTTGTCTAATTCACATGTTTTGAACTCGGCAAGCTTTAACAATCATGTGATCAGTACCTTGATTGGATACACAGGCCTACAAGACTATCACACTACTCAAGATATGCAATCTTCTATGAAGTAATTGAAGCTAAGATCATGTTAGGCTACAAAAAACTCCACAAAGAGCAACTTAAATGATACCCTTTCTGGTTGAAGTTTTCAGGGTGCCTGCAGAATGTGTAACAAAGATTTTCCCATAACTCCATACTGTGAAGTTCACATAGATGGTCTTAAAATAGCACTTCAAATATTGTAGAGAGTTCGGATAGTGGTTCGACCTCGGATTCGAAACTCCGACAATGGTTCTTAGTTCTAGAACATAGTTCTTGCCCGCAATGTACTACTAATCCCTAGTCTGCAATTACCTCTTCACCTCGCACAACATTCCCCATTCCCATCTCTGCTATTGTCCTCCATTCTGCCCAATTCACCTCATTCATATATGATTCACATGCATATGAAGACCAAACCTAGAAGTTTATATCTGAAAGAACCTGGAAAATTATGACCCTGCTTGTGTGGTACTCGTATAGAATTTGATGCTAAACCCTGAATCCAATTGACATTGCATTCCATTAATCCCCACACTAAGTTCCATAGTAGAAGTACTTAGACATAGAACAGGATGGGAATCTATTTAACATGATCTTAGCATTCCAAATTATCCGAGTCTGACTCAATACATTAAGAAATGATGAATTAATGTTTCAGTGTATTCTAAATTATCATGCTCACAGCGTTAAAGAAAAATGTTCCAATAATCTGTGGTTGAGTAGTCCTTCACTAAACCAAGGAATGAAAGTATGAAACCGATACCAACCACATAAACATAAGCAAATACAGAGAGTTCAAATTCTAAATCAATCAAAGAGGTGAAAATCAATTTAGTTTGTATAACTAAAACCCAATTCAATTAAAGCCAAGATGAAATCAGCCCACCGTCCCAATCCGATTCCATAATTTAATTATTTTACCCGCAGGTATTCCTCTAAATTGATGAAAAAGAAGACTTAATTCGAAGCTTGCTTACTTCACCATTGACGCAATCAAAGCCGCACCCACACTGCGGGGACTCGTAAAAGTTATCAATAGCGAAGCTAGCAGATGTAATCCCCACCGAAAACTCCATCTCATCTCCATCTCTAACAACCTCCACAATGTTCAGCCACAGAAACAGGACTTTGACGCTTATTCCGCTCAGGTTTTTGAGCTTGTTGTCGGAGATGATCCCGCTGATCGTCGATTTGTATTTGAGTTGATAAGATCCTTCAAGTCCGAAGCTACATGAACCGTTTAAGTAGGCATGGAAGCGGCCCGTGGACTCGTCTAGATCGTACTTTAAGACGCCTCGGGGGAGAAGACCGACGGGGAAGTTGTAGCCTTGGAGGATTTCGTAGGGTGAGAGTGCTTCACTGCCGGTGACGGTGAGGGGGGTTGAGGATGCGAGTGGAGAGAGGAGGTGGGCGGCGGCGGCGAAAATGATGGTTAGATGGAGAGCCATGTTTTTATTTGTGTTGAAAATGGATTTACAACTTGCAAGTTAGAAGTGTGAGTAATGATTAAGTCAGGGGGTAAGATTTGAGTGTCAGACAGCACATTGTTAACCCAGAAAGGACACAGATTTCAAAGGTATTGTTGGTAAATTTTCCATGACTTGTATACATTTTCATTAAAAAAAACCTCACATGGAAGTTCCCAATGTTAACCTTGCAAATTCTTTTCAATTTATAAATGAATTTTTAAAAAATATTATATATCTCGTTTAGTTTTTTTTAAATATTAATTAAAGGGTCTTATTGTTTCTTAATAACGCTTATGGAAGCTGAATACTCGCATGTTTCTCAGTTCAATTGATACCCAATCACGCCAATGGGAAGAATGGCTATTGGGAAGTCGTTCTGTTGAAGAGGTTGGTATGCTGATAGCTTTTCGTCATCGGATTTGGCGAATGAAGAAGCTGATCGGGAGATTAGAGTGACGAAGATAAGGATTCCGCTTGATCGAGCGATCTTTGTTGTGATGGGAATAAGGGAAAACTGGGGATTTTTCGAGTGGAAAAGTTAGATGTGGCTGCTGATGAGCTTCAGCTAGTGCACCAAAAACAGAGTCCAACCTAGTTGAGTCGTGACATTTTCATTTTTGTCTGGTTAGGATAATCATACATAAAAGATGTTCAATTAAACGCAAAGAATACCAAAGGGTGTTAATGCAGTTTGCAACAACAAATTCACGCTCGCGCCATGGCCAAAAAGAATTCAATACAACTGATGGTATATATATGCATATAAATGATATATACAAAAAGAATTTCCAATTCACCTCTATTAACTTGATAAAGCCAGGAAAAAAACCAACTGCTGTGCCATCAATGAAGCAAATAAATTAGCAATGAACTACTGGGAAATAATGGCAATTGCAGCCAACAAAGGCAAAGGAAAAAAGAACAGAGATATACATACAGGTTCTTGCCACATCAGCTCATATCCTTGAGTCTTTTTATCAATGCATCCAAAGACTTGTTCTTTGGTTTCGGCATGGCTCCCCTATCCTGTAGTCTAGAGCATTGTAATTCCTCTCTCGGATCACCGGATTCATAAAATTCTCCGGACGATTGCTTAAAAGCAAGTTGATTAACTGCCTTGATTCTGCCAGTGCATTTTTCAACTGAATTTTACCCCCTTCTTCTGAGAACAGAGTAGCCAGGTTATCTGCAAAAGATTCTAACAACTGAATATCAACATCAATCCCCCCTATAGCATTCACATTGATCCTCTTAACTGAATCACTAAGTAAAGCTTCAACAATCTTCTCTGATATATGAGAAAGAACATCTTGTAAAGCTCTTTTCAGAACTTAAGTAGGCAATATCTGTTGGGCTGTAGATACCCGAGTTTCCAAGTATATTATAATTTCATTCGCATATTCGTTACCGGCTTGTGTAGGTTCGTCGGTCATCCAGTTCACATTCTCAATCAATGTCATCAAACCATCAACTTTTGTCTTGAGCATCGCAGACAGTGTATCTCCAGCAGCATCACGGGCTTTATTAAGAGGAAACTGCCTCCTACTCCTTTCCGCCGTTCTCAAAGGAATACCAGAAAGCAGTGCAGCATGACGAAAGAAGAAATCACAAGCACGCTCCAAGACTCCAATATTTGCTGCAACCTGCATTGCCTGAGAAACCCCATGTACAGATGAATTAATAACCTTCAAAATAGCTCCATCTAGAACCTCACTCAAAAGCTGATCCAAGTACTTCTTAACAACGTCATAGAAATCCAACTGCCCGCAACAAGACATAAAACTAACAGAATCTTCAATGAAAGACCTCACGATCCGACAACAATCAGGCACGGTAGATGAAAATGGTGCAACATAAGGAAATGCTGGAACGACATCTGATGTTTGTATATGAAAAGCCAACACATTCATCGTGTACTCGTACTCTTTTCTCATCAACATCTGCTCGAATTTATCAGCAGCAAGTGCTTCTGCAATCTTCTTTCGACAATCTGATAACAATAGCTCATGGTACTTATCCCTATGCTTGCTCAAAACATAAAGCAATGAATCAACAGGGTAGCCATATCGACACATAGCAACTCCGAACAAACTGACATAATCCTTGATCAGTAACAAGTGATTAGCAGTCTGCATCCTAGAAAACTGATCCTCTAAAACCGAGCACATTTTAGTAACAGCAGTCTCCCACAAATTCTCAACGTCCATTTCGAAATCAAGCCCCCTCCTGTCCTTAAAACTCGATTTTCAACGATAAAGAAACCAGCGATTTGTGCAAAAAATGTTTGATGCGATTCAAGAAATGGAGTAACAGAAGATACTTGAAAATCTGACGATAGTTGAAGCTTCCTGTTCTCAAAGTAATACTGCTTAAATTGATCTTCGAGTGATAATGTTTGATAGATATGGTAAGCTCGATAAAGAGGAGCCAAATCAAAGCCTGACAAGCCGCTATTACCCTCATAACCGTCATTTTCGTCATCATCATCTTGTAAAGCGTAAACAAAATCTCTCAAGCTGAATCGACTGTGTTCAGCGGATTGGCTTTGCTTGATTCTCAGGTCCTCTTCGTGTTGCCTAGCAGCCGAGGCCTCTCCTATGGCTAATTGCCCTGAGTTGCGACTCACCGCGCTAATCTCCACAAGCCAATTGCTGAACTCTTTGCTTATTTTTCTCTCAATATGAGACCGAATATCCGGAATTTTCCTTTCCAGCATCCTTTTTAGAGTAGACGACAGCTTTTTATCCAGAAACACGTTTTCAATCGAGTCTAAGCATTTCAAGGCCAAGTAGAAACTTCCCTTTGACAGTTGGTGATTCGCTCTCGAACAAAGCTCAATTATCTTAATACACGTGGTCACCGATTGTAAAGCAGTGACCACGTTGTTTGAAACGTTTTGAGCTTCAACAAAGGAATCAAGGGAAGAAAGGAGAGGACCGGAGACGGATTGAAGTCTCGAATTGAAATCGGAAAGAGACGATTTGAGAGAATCGACGTCGGAGAGAAGAGAACGGAGATCATCGATGGCGAGAATGAAATCTTGGTAGTGAGCTTTACAAACTTGTTCAATCTCGGATTCTTTAGAACGAGCGAAGTAACGGAGGAGTTGGAGGAGGGTTTCAGGCCTACCGGAAGCGAAAGCCTTGCGGACGAAAGGACTGAGGGCCTCACCGTTACAGATAGCGGAGGAAAGGAAGAGCTGTTCCGGTTTTTCGCCGGAATCTACTTTGTGGCGTTAGTCTAGGGCCGTAAATGAGACGAGACAGATCGCGAGCTATTCGAGATCGACTCGATCAAGGCTCGATAAATACTCGAATCGAATAGATTCGACTCGAGCTCGAGCTTGACTCGAGTTTTTAACGAGCCTAAACGAGCTACTTGATATTCGACTCGAAAAGCTTGTGAGCAGCTTAAAAAAATGTTATATTATAATTTTAGATTTTCTAAAGTTACATTATTAAAAATACACTATTGATAATTATAAAAATTTAAAAATATATTAAAAATTCTATAATACAACTACCCTCAAATTTTAATTAATATCCTTGCAATGAACCTTAAATCTTAAACCAGAAAACCTAAATTATACTTACCTCATAAATAGATACTAAGTCGATTAATTAATGTCTTTGCAATAAATCTTAAACCCTAAACTCTAAACCCTAAAACCTAAATCCAATTATTTGATAGAGGTTAATTATGCACATGAAGATAATATACAAATTATGCAAAATGATTTTATGTGACTCCTAAATAAATCAATCACATACTTATACATAAACATATCAACATGCAAAATAAATATACACAACTAATTAAAGAAAACAAACATAAACAGGGACTAAATTAAGAGAAATCTAAATGTGAGGACTAATTTAAGCTAAATATACTAACTTTATAATGATGATTAAATTTACGTAAATGTAAAATTAAATTTACAAAATTAGAATTAAACCAATGACTTAAATACAAAATGCGTATAAATTATAGGGTCTTATATGCAATTGATCCTATTCGGTTTAAGCTAAAATAATATGAAAATAACATAAATGACACCTGAATATTTAAAACAAATAATAAAATTTAAACAAATGTGATTGAAATACAAAAATTAAAATATAACATACCAAACTCTGGTTTAAGCTTATATGCAATTGATCCTATTCGGTTTAAGCTTATTGTTGCACTCTTGTTTTGCTTCAGCTTCGGCTTCTAGTGGTGCCTGTCTCACTTTGGTTGTTAACTCTGGTTTATGAGTCGTGGCCCTGGAACCACTCTCTTTCAAAAAACAAGACTTGGACCATCGTTCTTAATGGTAGCCTCTCGTTCTTTACCGCATGTGCACGCACCTCTGGCAGTCTAACATTCTGCATAGTCTTTTATTTTCTGCTTTACTAACTTCAGGGTGCTCCTGCTTAAATCAGATGCATTAATATGTTCATGTCTATCAGTATCCATAACATGCAAAAATGAGCATCTGGGAGATGATTAGTGAATTGGTGTCACCTTGAGATAAATGTTAATGGACTTATAAAGGCCATCATGGTCTTCCCTGGCAACATCCAGCAATGCTTCAGCTAGAGAAACTAGTTTGGATATTGGCATGTTGGCATCCCTTGCAACAACTTGAATATATGAATCGATAAGCTTCCCCGTCTTTCTAATTGATCTAAGCAAGTGGTCGTTTTTCTGCAAGTGCTGGGGATTGTCTTCTCCATAGTGCCAAATAACTGTCTAATACTGCTGCAACCAAGTCAATATCATAATAGTGCTGATCAGTAGGCAACTGTGAAGGAAATAGTATATCATTTAGTGTCGCTTCTTCGAATTGCAGACCGACTTTCCTTATCAGTTCAGTCTTTGTCACCGGGGACGCTCCTAGATAACTTGCAATGCTAAGGAGCTTTAACAAGAAGCCTACTGAAATCGAGCCTCGATCGGTTGGAAGACAAAAAAGGAGAGAAAAATAAAGGAGAACTGATGCTTGCAGTTTGGTATGGCACACAGGCTGATAAAGCTTTTCCAGATGCGTGGCATTCGGATGCTATTGCTCCAGGTGATAGCACTTCGGTTTCCCCAACATACATCCGTTCAAAAGTTTATCACTCTCAGAGACTATGGTATGTTCGTGTCAAAGTTATTAAGGCTCAAGACCTTGTTCCAGCTGACAAGAATAGGTTTCCTGATGCATATGTTAAGGTTCAAATTGGTAACCAGATCTTAAAGACAAAACCTGTTCAAAACCGAAATATGAATCCTATCTGGAACGAAGAGTTTATGCTTGTTGCTGCTGAACCCTTTGAAGATCATCTGATTTTTTCAGTTGAAGATCGTGTGGGTCCTAATAAGGATGATGCCATTAAAAGGTTGTTATAACATTGAACTCCGTTGATAGGCGTGTTGATGATCGAACTATCCGTTTCTGATGGTACAATCTGGAGAAGTCTTCTATGGATGGCAATCGTGCAAAGAAGGATAAGGATAAATTTCATCTCGTGAGGAGAAAATCAGTGTTGATTATACAGGAGAAGGCTTTTTATTGCAACCTTGATCTGGAGATGGAGATGGGGATAGGAGTTGAAGGTGGGGTGTGAATTTGGACAACCCCAATCCCATTGATGTTACTATTACTGAGCTATTTGAAAGTAGTTCATATCCTACATCGGTGGTTCTTGGGGAATAAGGGGTAAAGAGAGTGTATAAAAGGAGATGGGTTTCAACAATTGAAATTTAACCCGTCTTCGAGCTTGAATCAAGCTCAAAGTCGAGCTTGAATCGAGCTCAAAATCGAGTTTCAATCGAGTTTGAGTGTCGAGCTTCAGTCGAGCTCTTTGAGTTCGAGCATTTTCGAGTTCGAGTCGAGTTTCAATATTATCTTTCGAGTTCGAGTCGAGCTTAAAAATTTTAGGCTTGCGAGTTTTCGAGTCAAGTTGAGCTTACATTTAAAATTTTTAAATTCGAATCGAACTCGATAATACTTGAGTTCGATTCGACTCGTTTACACCCTTAGGGGTGACCTCATTGACTGCATTTTCTTGTACGGGAGAATGGGTGATACTTGGACAGAGAGGAGAGGGATAGTTTTTTTGTTTTTTAGTGCAGAAGAGAGGGGTAGTATGAAATTTTATTCAGTTATAATTTGGGCTGTCTGAGGGTGACAGTGACAGAGAATGGTGGGGGGAATAAAGGTAATTTGGGAATTAATAAAATAATAACATATAAATAAGGTAGCTTATCAGAGTTTGACACATCCGATGATAATTCTTCCACGGCAAGCGAGGCGGTGACGTTATCATATTCTTATTTCCAATAAGGGTATTAAGACACCTATCGTCTTCTTCCTGACTTTATAAATAAACATCAATGGCTCGTATATTAAAATTTGTTGTTCAAGATTTTCTGACCTAAGTGGACCCAAGGAATTTCAGCAACATCCCCCATTTCTCTATTATTTTCTTCCTTTTATCTAAATACAACTTTCCCATAAAATTAAGATAAAATATTATATTAGAGTAAATTTTATTATATGACAATAAGTACTATTAACTTATAAATAATCATTATGATCGTAGTCTTGATATATTAAGACATGCATGGTCGGAGGAGTAGTTTTGAACTTCTCTCTCTCAATTTCTTTCTACACATCGTGTATCGTCTTCCTTTTTTGTTTTTTATTCAATATGGCCACCGGCCATGTCTTTGGAAAGGATGCGCTGAATTCTCTCAAGCGGACGAGGAAAAAGAGTTAGACCCAAACTTCCTGTACTATCAATGTGAGTTAAGGCATCGGTCACTTCATTCGGATCCCTTCTAGTGTGGTTAAAGCCGACTGTCCACTGGTGGTGAAGCAAGTTTCGAATTCTTCGAACAATTGACATCTCGTGGCCTTGATTTCTGGAATTTAGATTTCTAACAGCCTCGCTGTTATCGATATCAACTACAACATGCTGAAAACCACGATCCTTGGCAATGGAAAGACCATTGTTTTGGTAATAGACCCAATTTTCGCTTCGCATTGTTTGGGATAGTATCGTGATGTTTCTTCCGAATCATTTGCCATGCCCTTGCCGAATGGATAATCTAAGCTGAAGACCACACCTTTCCATTAAACACAAAATTATTACGTTGTTTCCAAACCCTCCAAATGATAATTTGCATGATCAAGATTCAATTTAACACCAAGGTTTAACTTCAACCAATCAGTTAGAGGAGCAGAATAAAATCCTTGGAGCGTAGAGCTTGGAATCAATTGGGACCAAACCATTTTAGCCGTGAGACAGTCACGGAGGACACGAGAAATTGTTTCCTCGCTATTGTATTACTGTATTAAATCCCCATCAAAGTTGAGAATGTATAAACTGATTTTTTTTCTGATAAAAATTTTAAAAATAAAAAATAGAATTATATATAATAGTAAAAGTATCTATTTAATGTTAAATTATAAAAAAACAAATACATTTATGATAAACTTGATGTCTTAAACAAATAAATGAGATAACTATTAAAGTTACAAATAAAATTTTATTAAATGTGTGATATTATACATGGATTTTTTTTTAATTTATGCACATAAAATTTTGATTTTAATTTAATTATATATTTTTTAAATAAAAAATATATTATATTTATTTGCATCGATGGACACGTTCTCCCCTCAAAGAAATGTTTCAAGTACCTAGGGTTTATGATACATAAAGATGGGGGTGTAGATGATGACGTTACACACCGTATAAAGGCGGGATGACTAAAGTGGAGGGTTGCTACTGGAGTTTTGTGTGACAAGAAGGTGCCTCTAAAACTTAAGGGAGAATTTAATAGAATGACAATAAGACCAACGTTGATGTATGGATCAGAATGTTGGGCAATCAAGAAGGATCACGTAAGGAGGATGGAGGCCGCAGAAATGAGAATGATTCGTTGGACATGTGGTAAGATTCTGTGGGACATGACACCAAACTCTGCAATTAGGATGTCCTTGGGGGTGGTGCCTGTATCCGAAAAATTGAGGGAGGGAAGACTACGGTGGTTTGGGCATGTCCTTAGGCAACAATTGTCGGATGCGGTCAGGAGGGTAGAGTCGATTATAGTCGAAGGTTCCAGAAGGAGAGGACGACCAAGGAGGAAGTGGGTAGACTGCTTGAGATCTGATTTGAAGGATTTAACACTTACCGAGGACATGACCTCTGACAGGAAAGTATGGAGACTTAAGACCAGGGTAGCCGAGTAGTGTGGGTCATAACCATGGGGTGTAGCATCTCTGTCTTCTTTTTAATTCCTCTGTAGTAATTTCCATGACTTCTACTTCTATACGTTTCTGTCATTGGAATCTATGAAGGCCCAGAACTAGAGTAGCGGAGTAGTGTTGCCTTAGTTTAGGTGGTAACCCATTTGACTTTATTCCTTCTAGTAGCTTGCTATCGCTGACTACTGTGTATTCCTTCCCTTCATGTTTCCTCTTTTTAAATTTAGTCGGGACTTACATTTCTATCTATATGAAGAGATTATTACGCAGCGATTACTTCCCATTACAGACGCGCATATGAAGACTGTTCAACTATGTATTTATTTATTTATACATGCATTGTATTTTATCTTTATTTTTAATTTCCTTGACTGCCAGAGGTCTTCCACGGAAGCTGCTCTCATCCTGGCGTTGGGGACAGCCTACTACACTACCTCCCCCTTACCCTATTACATATGAGAATAGGGTTTTGTTGTTGTTGTATATTTATTTGCATATTAATAAATATAATTATTTAATGTAAAATTATGTTACGTTGAAAATTATTTTTTTTAGTTTAAAAAAATTAAATATAATGAAAATTTTATGTATATAATTATATAAAATAATATATATATTTTCTAAATTTTAATTAAATTTACTGAACGGGTGTAGGTTAAACCAAAACATAAAAATGGGCCTCTAAGCAATTCTCTTCATGTGGGCTTTATAATCCGTTTCTATCCCTAATAAGACTAGACGGGCCGGATTCTTCAGTAACGGGTTCCATTGAAAGCCATGGATCTTAATTTCAAACCCAATTTTACTTTCATCACAAGATTCTAAAACCCTAGCGCGCGCACTCTCACTTGGGCGTTTTTAAGGCCACTTGCTTCTCTCAGCGGTACATTCCTCCTCTTGCAAAAGCAGCAGCACCAGCTTCACCGCACCGGCAATGGTATCTCTTTCCTCTCAGAAGCCCTCACTCGAAGCCTTTTTTGTGTGTGGATATTTATCTAATTTTAGTTTTTGAAAATTTGTTATCGTTTTGTTGCAATTTCAGGGAATCGACTTGGTCGCAGGCGGCAAGAGCAAGAAGACGAAGAGAACTGCTCCCAAGTCCGATGATATCTACCTCAAGCTCCTCGTCAAGGTTTCTTCTCTTTTCCAGTCGTTCAGATGTGCTTTCTTCTTTTTTGTTTTGTTTAGTGAAGGAAAATTGAATTTTTTTGGATATATTACCAGCTTTACCGATTTCTGGTAAGAAGAACTGGCAGCAAATTCAATGCAGTGATTTTGAAGCGGCTTTTTATGAGCAAAGTCAACAAGCCTCCTTTGTCTTTATCCAGATTGGTTCAATTCATGAAGGACAAGGTAACAATTTACTTCATTTGTATTTTTTTTCTGTTTTTTATTGATTTTTTTTGTGATAAGTGATTGTTATTATCATTGGTTTGATCTATCAGGAAGATAAGATTGCAGTAGTAGTTGGGACTGTCACAGATGATATTCGTGTGTATGAGGTGCCGGCTCTGAAGGTTACTGCACTAAGGTTCACCGAGACAGCGAGAGCCAGGATCGAGAAGGCCGGTGGTGAATGCTTAACATTTGACCAACTTGCTCTTCGAGCTCCCCTTGGACAGAACACAGTATGTTCTATGATACAACTCTTTTACTTCAGTTGTCTGGATTGTGCAATTGTTTTACTTGTTATCTTGAATATCTGGTTTTTTATTGGAACTATTGTTTTTCCTAGCTTATGAATGTCTTATCTATTTTTGGTACGATAGGTAGGTGATAAAACCTGCTAGTTTAAATTGTTTGAATTGGCGAAGTTCTGATGGTTCAAATCATTGAAGTTTCAAGATTTGGCTTCTGAGTTGTATATAGATAAAAGTGTTCCCCTTTCCCGCTTCTTGCATTTGTCACTCGAGTTGTTCACTGTATGATTATGGCTATTCTAAAATGCTGTTGAGTTTTATACAGCCATAGCTGTATTATAAGTATCTAAATGATTGTTGTGCTCATCTTGTGTTACCATATTTTTTTTGATTATACACTTCAATCAAGATGCAACCGACTAAAATAGGTGTCTTATTGAATTTTAAGGTGACAGGAACAGACGTGCATATTCTACATCATTTGTCATTTGTTATGATCTCAATGCATTTGAACTATCAGACAATTCCGTTGTAAAGGCACTCTTTTCATATACGTTTGGTATGAAACTAAAGACTCTGTGGCTTAACCTATATTACCTTTTATTTTACCAACTATTTTTAAATGATATGTGCTTTATAATTAGGGCCATGGAGGCATAGACCATATCTGTTAGTAAGCTGAAAAACAAAACCATTTTGGGAGCTTTTTATATATCCAATTCGCCTTTGTAACATGTTTTGATTTTTTCAAGACTACCCTTTGAATCATGTCCTTGATATCATTTCCCTGTTTCTCTTTTTGGTTTAACATTTTCATTTGAGGTTTTGATAAAAAAAGAAGAATTACTTTCAAATACTGATATATGTACTGGATGGTGAAAATTGACTTCAATTCTATGGTGAAAATCTGCAGGTTCTCCTCCGAGGTCCGAAGAATGGTCGTGAGGCTGTGAAACACTTTGGACCAGCTCCCGGTGTTCCACACAGCCACACCAAGCCCTATGTGCGGTCAAAGGGAAGGAAATTCGAGAGGGCTAGAGGAAGAAGGAACAGCAAAGGCTTTAGGGTTTGAGATTCCAAATGTCCGGGATAGAAATTATCAGCCTATCACATTAAAATGAGAACCTTTTTTTTCACATTACTTTGGTTTCAATGGTTGTAGTTGGGAATCTATTGTAACTTTGTTTTTTAAGGATAATTTTTGAGTGATTGATCATTGTTTTTTGTTGGTGGATATCTATAATTAGGGGTGATTAAAACTTGACTCGACTAAAAGAATGACTATTAAAAATCGACTTGAAAAGGGGTAAACATATAGGCCTATCCCAAACAAGGGGAGAAACCCTTAACCATAAAAAACCAGAAAACACAAAGGAAACATATATTTTTATAATCTTTTACGTACTACGTGAGGGGATTTATTTATTTTTTTGGGCAAACTATTCAGTAGTCTTCTATGTTGGTTAACGGTTTATAAAAAAAAATTGTTCATCTTATGTTTTTGGTCATCGGTTCAAAATAAAGTGATTTTGAGTTTTTAAATTATTGATTCGTTTGGTTTTGATCTTTCCTCGTTAAATCTTGTTAACTCGTTAATGGAATTAGGAGGTGAGAAATAAAAATTAAAAATGATTCACAAAAAATCCTCCGCTCGAAATCTAGTCACTCCCAAAAATAAATGCATAGTTTAATATAAATTCAAGGACAACCAGTGTAAGAATTGATCACCACATTGGGTACAATTGTATGACACCCAAAAACGATCACTCCCTGTATCAAGTGCCACCATGTACTTCACCCCAAGAGTCCATAATTTCACTGTGGTATAATGTAAACTGTATCAAAAAAATCCCAAATAAGATTATAAAAACAACTTTATAACAATACTCTTAATCTAAATTCCAAGAAAATACAAACAAAAAGGCATAAAGATCCTTTACAATCCCAATGAACTCATTAGGAAGGTGGAGTTGACATCAAAGAAAGAAATGTTTGTATTGATATCAGAGAGTTTGCGGCCGCGGAAGAGACGGTCTCGATGAGCTAAAACGGCGTAGTACTCGAAAGAGCCTTTTTTGCATGCCAATGAGAGAGTTTGCCAATGGAGTTGGACCAATTCTTGACGGGTTAAGAGAAAAGGTGATGCATCTTGAAAGTGAAGATGCGACCATAACTGAGGTGGAAGCTCAAGACCCAGAAGAAAAATAGAGTCATTAAGGACGAAAATATTTTCCTTTAACGATTGTCTCAGGAGAATGTAAGTGGATCGTCCATACATATTTGCATTTCGAAGAAACAAAAATGGATAAAAACTGAAGGGGGGAAAAGTTTGGATTTGGACCTAGAGTTGCTCTAGTATTTGGAATCTGTTGAGAGGAAATGAAGAAAGGGTACTTGCAGTGCTTCAGTCTTCTTGTTTGTTGTTACAGTGGAGGTGAATTGTGGACTGGTATCGAGGAAGAAGCTTTTGGGTAGAAGAAGAAAAAGTGACACGTAGGATTTTTTTTTTTAATTTTTAGTTACCAACTCAAACTGATGTTAATGATTTAACGAAAGTTAATTATCGAAGGACTTAATCGAATAAACCGTAAAGATTAAAACTACTTTTTCTTAACCGATGATTAAAGCCGGTTAGACCGAATACATAAGAGATTATGCGTACAGTTTACTATTATTTTTTGCTGTTGATGTACTTTAACCAAATATAGATTTTGTTGTTGATAGAGAGGTGGGATTAGGTTTGGTAAGTGGGGTCGTATGACAATTAAAGCTACTTTGCACTTGGTTTGGTATACCTTCCTTCAGTGCCCACTTCCCTAATCTACATATATACTACCTCTATACTAGTACATAATGATTGTATTGTACAATTCTTTTTCTTTTTTACCAATGATTTCCTAAATACAATGATTAATTGTAATAAGAGTAAATTACAATTACATAATAGATTTTAATAATAAATTTCTGTTTATTTTCCCAATTAAAGTTTTAGAAAATTTAAATACAACTATTCTAATGTCTGTTGTTTGATTAGTGATATGTTTTTTTCACCTCATTGATCAAATTATATAAATTTAAATTTAAATAGAAGTTGTAGGTGCAGGGTATTAGTGTGTTATCAATAACAAATTTTTTTAGATAGATACTATTTTATAATCACGTAGACCATTCAAAAAAAAAAAAAAAAGTAACATCCATCCTTTCTAACATTACTCAAAGCTAATCTCAAACCCAACACATAAATATATACAAGTACACAAGGGTGTGAAGGTACCTTTATTCTTAGCTACTATCCAAAGCACAAAACCTCTTCTTCAATTTAAAGGATGAATTTACAAACTTCGAAATCCTCTATTTTTGTTCATATTTTTGGTTAGCAAGGATGATCATAAGAAGAAGAGACACATATTGTAGCCTTTCATTTTTCCTTTTTATTAATCTAAGATAAGTTTCATCACATTAAACCACTTCATGTCACTCAACAAAAATCATTAGAATTGTCTTTAGGTTTATTTATCTTTTTAGGACATCTATCTTTACATTTTTCGATTACTCAATTAAAGTTTGCAAGTTATTCCATAATTTTACAATTAAGCCCTATTTGGATAAAGTTTGACATCACAATCAATTTTGATTAATTTAATAATTATTCAAGATTTAAAAATTAAAATTTTATCAAATTGTCATCTTTTAATTGAATTTTGACATCAGAAATTTAGGGACATTACTACCTAATCTTTCCCCCCCCCAGGAAAATCTAACCAAAATCTTTCTTAGTTATTGACAATGCAAGCACACACATTCTATAAACACAACTATTCAAATTCATGACCTCTAAAAAGAATAACATTCCCTTTTACATTAAAATTGTTCAATAAGTTTGTATTTATTTTAAACGTCGGATAAGTTCAAAACATATCCCATAAAGTCAAGCACATTGATATTCTTCTCCTGTCCTTTAAATGCACATTGAATATCCTTCAAACTTTTATCTCGTGGTTTTGGATTAGGGCAGGCAGCTACGAGTGTTCCACGTTTAATATTTTATAAATATAAGATAATATTTGTTCAAAATATCTTAATCATTAGATAATGAATGTTCATATTCTTGCGTGGACAATAGAATCGGAAAGAGAGATGAAATCAATGTTATCAACTTGCACCATAGAAACTATCACATTATCCTTCAAAGTAAATAAACTAAAATCTACTTTTCTATTTATAAGGTACTGTATAGTAGTGTGTGTATCCCTTCTGTTGTGCATATGTACATACAACTCTGCATAAATAGATATATTTATGCATTATGCACTAAATAATCACCAAAGGCTTTTAAGGGAAGATTAGTCTGTACTGCTATCCAAGGGGTAAAATTCTATTAAATCAAAAAAAATGTAAAAGACGGCATATAATAATTGTGCTCATGAGACTGCAACAATGTGAAATGTATTTCTTTAAGAACCATAAGAACTATTAGCGAAGGCATACTAGTTTCCTGTCTCAACTCTCTATATCGCCATACCTTGTTGCACAGTGAATAAAGTTGATCAAGTGGGGATTTATCCCTAGACATGAATATGTAATAAGAGATCTTGACTATAAAAGTAAAATAAATAATTAAAAAAAGTAAACTTATTAGCATAAATTACTTACCCTGGGTTTCCACAGTTGGACCTCAACCAATGTTGAATGCCATCTCTGAGCGTCTAACAGGAAAGAAGTTCAGTTCCGAATTTGAATTAAAATAGTTCATAACATAAATTATTGTAACATCCCAAACTACGGGTTAATGACTAAATTGTAAAAATTTCAGAATATGGTGATTAAAGTAGAATAGTTGAATAATTTAATGATTTATGTGGAGATATTTCCTGAAAGTTATTAGTAAATATTAAAGGAGTCAAAGGGAAAATAAGTAATTGAACAAGGAAAATAATTAAATAATAATTAATGGGTATTATAATACCCATGTGGATAATGACTGAAGAGATAAGCTTCAAAGCAATTATCTTCTCCACGTGAAAACTCAAAGCAAAGGTGAATTCTCTAATTTCTTGATTGTTTGTTGATTTTAAGCATGAGTTTTGATCCTTAGAGGGTAACTAAGCTTAAGGAAAGCTTAAGTTATCTTAAAATCAAAAGATGAAGAAGTTATAAGAGATTTAAGAAAACGAGTTTTTATATGAAATCATGGAATAGAGTTGATAAGTTGAATTTTAAGTTGAATTTGACTTGTCATCTATGAGAATAAGAAGATAGAAGTGTTATAATTGTATTTAGAACATATGGAAAATTGAGTATGATTCTTGAATTTCATATGAAGGATAGGATTTTGAAGTTATAGATGATTTTCATGGATATAAGTTAGTTTAAGCAATGGTAGTTGAGTTTAATGACATGGTAGGGGTTTAAAATAGAAGAATTGAAGGAAAAATTGATGATTTTTGAGCTTAAAATACAATTTCTGGGTAGCGGGAACCGATACCCTATGAATGGGAATCGATTCCCCCTCTTGAACGAAAAATTCCAGTATGTTCAGGGGGTATCGATTCCCCTAGGGGGGTATCGATTCCCCCTAAATGAAAATATAGAATTTGATTCATTAAACCGGTTTAAGTTATTAACATCAAGTTTAAAGTTTAGGCTTCTGATAGTTGTTTTGAAATGATATATTTATGTAGATATTGAGCCTAAACAAGTTCCGGAATAATCAAAGGATTATAATCGAATCAAAGCAAGGCTAAGGTGAGTGCAATTTAAATTGTACTTATGTGATTGATCAAACATTGGCTTGCGATGAGTCAATGATAGAGTTACTATGGTAAGAAGTAACTTATATAATGTTATGTGATTACTATGTGTGCATTAGTACATAGAAATGGATGTATGTTTATATGTTACATGATTTACATGCTTAAGTGAAAATGCAACATATGATATTAGATATATGTTTACACATACATGTGGTATGTGACAGAAGAGAAGGAACATGTGATTATGAGATCAATGCTTACACGTACATGTGATACGTGACTGAAAAGAAAAGATATGTGTTTATAAGAGAAAGAATATGAATAAGTAATGTGAACTGTTATAAATGATAATGCCCATGTTATGTGATATGAGAGCTAGGGGTATAGTTGGCATGCCAAGGGTCGAGGGTTTACCTATGTTCTTCGGGACATATGGACTGTTTACCTATGTTCTTCGGGACAT